CAGTTGCTAGAAGTAGAAGAAGACTGAACTCCAAAAAAAATTTATGTTGGAGGTTTTCGGTAGCTAGAAATATATCACCTTAGCAGAGGGTGGTTTCAATCCATCGTCCTCTGGGTTATGGGCCCAGCACGCTTCCGCAGCGCCACTCTGCTGATGGTAAAGATGACAAGACTCAATCACAGAGCTCTTCGTGCAAGAAACTGACGTCATAGCTATCAGACTACTGGGTCCACATGCTGAAATCGCTGCATTGTTCACTCTGTTAAATAATTTAAATAATGTTGTGAAATGTCCACAGTAAATGCATTAACAAACGATCAATGATAAATCCATTTTGAAAACTCATTTAAAAAACAGGTAATAAGAGTTATGTGTTTCCTCTGTTTAAGAAAAAGCCTGAACTCCTACATTTTCGTATGTATAGAAAAATATATTCTTAGCAGAGGATGGTTTCGATCAATCGACCTCTGGGTTATGGGCCCAGCACGCTTCCGCTGCGCCACTCTGCTGATGGTAAAGCTTTCAAGACTCAATCACAGAGCTCTTTGTGCAAGAAACTGACATCATAGCTATCAGACTACTGGGACTACATGCCGATATCGCTGCATTGTTCACTCTGTTAAATAATTTAAATAATGTTGTGAAATGTCCACAGTAAATGCATTAACAAACTATCAATGATAAATCCATTTTGAAAACTCATTTAAAAAACAGGTAATAAGAGTTATGTGTTTCCTCTGTTTAAGAAAAAACCTGAACTCCTACATTTTTGTATGTTGTTGGATTTCAGTTGCTAGAAGTAGAAGACTGAACTCCAAAAAAAAATTATGTTGGTGGTTTTCGGTTGCTAGAAATATATCACCTTAGCAGAGGGTGGTTTCAATCCATCGTCCTCTGGGTTATGGGCCCAGCACGCTTCCGCTGCGCCACTCTGCTGATGATAAAGATGCCAAGACTCAATCACAAAGCTCTTTGTGCAAGAAACTGACATCATAGCTATCAGACTACTGGGTCCACATGCTGAAATCGCTGCATTGTTCACTCTGTTAAATAATTTAAATAATGTTGTGAAATCTCCACAGTAAATGCATTAACAAACTATCAATGATAAATCTATTTTGAAAACTCATTTAAAAAACAGGTAATAAGAGTTATGTGTTTCCTCTGTTTAAGAAAATGCCTGAACTCCAACATTTTCGTATGGTGTTGGTTTTCAGTTGCTAGAAGTATATCTTCTTAGCAGAGGATGGTTTCGATCCATCGACCTCTGGGTTATGGGCCCAGCACGCTTCCGCTGCGCCACTCTGCTGATGGTAAAGATGCCAAGACTCAATCACAGAGCTCTTTGTGCAAGAAACTGACGTCATAGCTATCAGACTACTGGGACTACATGCCGATATCGCTGCATTGTTCTTTCTGTTAGATAATTTAAATAATGTTGTGAAATGTCCACAGTAAATGCATTAACAAACTATCAATGATAAATCCATTTTGAAAACTCATTTAAAAAACAGGTAATAAGAGTTATGTGTTTCCTCTGTTTAAGAAAAAGCCTGAACTCCTACATTTTTGTATGTTGTTGGATTTCGGTTGCTACAAGTAGAAGAAGACTGAACTCCTAAATCTTTTTATGTTGGTGGTTTTCGGTTGCTAGAAGTATATCGCCTTCGCAGAGCGTGGTTTCAATCCACAGTCCTCTGGGTTATGGGCCCAGCACGCATCCGCTGCGCCACTCTGCTGATGATAGTGATGCCAAGACTCAATCACAGAGCTCTTTGTGCAAGAAACTGACGTCATAGCTATCAGACTACTGGGAATACATGCCGATATCGCTGCATTGTTCTTTCTGTTAGATAATTTAAATAATGTTGTGAAATGTCCACAGTAAATGCATTAACAAACTATCAATGGTAAATCCATTTTGAAAACTCATTTAAAAAACAGGTAATAAGAGTTATGTGTTTCCTCTGTTTAAGAAAAAACCTGAACTCCTACATTTTTGTATGTTGTTGGATTTCAGTTGCTAGAAGTAGAAGAAGACTGAACTCCAAAAAAAATTTATGTTGGAGGTTTTCGGTTGCTAGAAATATATCACCTTAGCAGAGGGTGGTTTCAATCCATCGTCCTCTGGGTTATGGGCCCAGCACGCTTCCGCAGCGCCACTCTGCTGATGATAATGATGCCAAGACTCAATCACAGAGCTCTTTGTGCAAGAAACTGACGTCATAGCTATCAGACTACTGGGAATACATCCTGAAATCGCTGCATTGTTCTTTCTGTTAGATAATTTAAATAATGTTGTGAAATGTCCACAGTAAATGCATTAACAAACTATCAATGGTAAATCCATTTTGAAAACTCATTTAAAAAACAGGTAATAAGAGTTATGTGTTTCCTCTGTTTAAGAAAAAACCTGAACTCCTACATTTTTGTATGTTGTTGGATTTCAGTTGCTAGAAGTAGAAGAAGACTGAACTCCAAATTTTTTTTATGTTGATGGTTTTCGGTTGCTAGAAATACATCGCCTTAGCAGAGGGTGGTTTCAATCCATCGTCCTCCGGGTTATGGGCCCAGCACGCTTCCGCAGCGCCACTCTGCTGATGGTAAAGATGACAAGACTCAATCACAGAGCTATTTGTGCAAGAAACTGACGTCATAGCTATCAGACTACTGGGTCTACATGCTGAAATCGCTGCATTGTTCACTCTGTTAGATAATTTAAATAATGTTGTGAAATGTCCACAGTAAATGCATTAACAAACGATCAATGATAAATCCATTTTGAAAACTCATTTAAAAAACAGGTAATAAGAGTTATGTGTTTCCTCTGTTTAAGAAAAAACCTGAACTCCTACATTTTTGTATGTTGTTGGATTTCAGTTGCTAGAAGTAGAAGAAGACTGAACTCCAAAAATGTTTTATGTTGGTGGTTTTCTTGCTAGAAATATATCGCCTTAGCAGAGGGTGGTTTCAATCCATTGTCCTCTGGGTTATGGGCCCAGCACGCTTCCGCTGCGCCACTCTGCTGATGGTAAAGATGCCAAGACTCAATCACAGAGCTCTTTGTGCAAGAAACTGACGTCATAGCTATCAGACTACTGGGACTACATGCCGATATCGCTGCATTGTTCTTTCTGTTAGATAATTTAAATAATGTTGTGAAATGTCCACAGTAAATGCATTAACAAACTATCAATGATAAATCCATTTTGAAAACTCATTTAAAAAACAGGTAATAAGAGTTATGTGTTTCCTCTGTTTAAGAAAAAGCCTGAACTCCAACATTTTCGTATGGTGTTGGTTTTCAGTTGCTAGAAGTATATCTTCTTAGCAGAGGATGGTTTCGATCCATCGACCTCTGGGTTATGGGCCCAGCACGCTTCCGCTGCGCCACTCTGCTGATGGTAAAGATGCCAAGACTCAATCACAGAGCTCTTTGTGCAAGAAACTGACGTCATAGCTATCAGACTACTGGGACTACATGCCGATATCGCTGCATTGTTCACTCTGTTAAATAATTTAAATAATGTTGTGAAATGTCCACAGTAAATGCATTAACAAACTATCAATGATAAATCCATTTTGAAAACTCATTTAAAAAACAGGTAATAAGAGTTATGTGTTTCCTCTGTTTAAGAAAAAGCCTGAACTCCAACATTTTCATATGGTGTTGGTTTTCAGTTGCTAGAAGTATATCTTCTTAGCAGAGGATGGTTTCGATCCATCGACCTCTGGGTTATGGGCCCAGCACGCTTCCGCTGCGCCACTCTGCTGATGGTAAAGATGCCAAGACTCAATCACAGAGCTATTTGTGCAAGAAACTGACGTCATAGCTATCAGACTACTGGGACTACATGCCGATATCGCTGCATTGTTCTTTCTGTTAGATAATTTAAATAATGTTGTGAAATGTCCACAGTAAATGCATTAACAAACTATCAATGATAAATCCATTTTGAAAACTCATTTAAAAAACAGGTAATAAGAGTTATGTGTTTCCTCTGTTTAAGAAAAACCCTGAACTCCTACATTTTTGTATGTTGTTGGATTTCAGTTGCTAGAAGTAGAAGAAGACTGAACTCCTAAATCTTTTTTATGTTGGTGGTTTTCGGTTGCTAGAAGGCCTGAGCGTGGTTTCAATCCATCAGTCCTCTGGGTTATGGGCCCAGCACGCTTCCGCTGCGCCACTCTGCTGATGGTAAAGATGCCAAGACTCAATCACAGAGCTCTTTGTGCAAGAAACTGACGTCATAGCTATCAGACTACTGGGACTACATGCCGATATCGCTGCATTGTTCTTTCTGTTAGATAATTTAAATAATGTTGTGAAATGTCCACAGTAAATGCATTAACAAACTATCAATGATAAATCCATTTTGAAAACTCATTTAAAAACAGGTAATAAGAGTTATGTGTTTCCTCTGTTTAAGAAAAAGCCTGAACTCCTACATTTTTGTATGTTGTTGGATTTCAGTTGCTACAAGTAGAAGAAGACTGAACTCCTAAATCTTTTGATGTTGGTGGTTTTCGGTTGCTAGAAGTATATCGCCTTCGCAGAGCGTGGTTTCAATCCACAGTCCTCTGGGTTATGGGCCCAGCACGCTTCCGCTGCGCCACTCTGCTGATGGTAAAGATGCCAAGACTCAATCACAGAGCTCTTTGTGCAAGAAACTGACGTCATAGCTATCAGACTACTGGGAATACATGCCGATATCGCTGCATTGTTCTTTCTGTTAGATAATTTAAATAATGTTGTGAAATGTCCACAGTAAATGCATTAACAAACTATCAATGATAAATCCATTTTGAAAACTCATTTAAAAACAGGTAATAAGAGTTATGTGTTTCCTCTGTTTAAGAAAAACCTGAACTCCTACATTTTTGTATGTTGTTGGATTTCAGTTGCTAGAAGTAGAAGAAGACTGAACTCCTAAAATCTTTTATGTTGGTGGTTTTCGGTTGCTAGAAATATATCTCCAAAATGCCTTTCGGTTGCTAGAAAGCAGAGGGCTGGTTTCAATCCATCGTCCTCTGGGTTATGGGCCCAGCACGCTTCCGCTGCGCCACTCTGCTGATGGTAAAGATGACAAGACTCAATCACAGAGCTCTTCGTGCAAGAAACTGACGTCATAGCTATCAGACTACTGGGTCCACATGCTGAAATCGCTGCATTGTTCACTCTGTTAAATAATTTAAATAATGTTGTGAAATCTCCACAGTAAATGCATTAACAAACTATCAATGATAAATCCATTTTGAAAACTCATTTAAAAAACAGGTAATAAGAGTTATGTGTTTCCTCTGTTTAAGAAAAAGCCTGAACTCCAACATTTTCATATGGTGTTGGTTTTCAGTTGCTAGAAGTATATCTTCTTAGCAGAGGATGGTTTCGATCCATCGACCTCTGGGTTATGGGCCCAGCACGCTTCCGCTGCGCCACTCTGCTGATGGTAAAGATGCCAAGACTCAATCACAGAGCTCTTTGTGCAAGAAACTGACGTCATAGCTATCAGACTACTGGGACTACATGCCGATATCGCTGCATTGTTCTTTCTGTTAGATAATTTAAATAATGTTGTGAAATGTCCACAGTAAATGCATTAACAAACTATCAATGATAAATCCATTTTGAAAACTCATTTAAAAAACAGGTAATAAGAGTTATGTGTTTCCTCTGTTTAAGAAAATGCCTGAACTCCAACATTTTCATATGGTGTTGGATTTCAGTTGCTAGAAGTATATCTTCTTAGCAGAGGATGGTTTCATCCATCGACCTCTGGGTTATGGGCCCAGCACGCTTCCGCTGCGCCACTCTGCTGATGGTAAAGATGCAAGACTCAATCACAGAGCTCTTTGTGCAAGAAACTGACGTCATAGCTATCAGACTACTGGGACTACATGCCGATATCGCTGCATTGTTCTTTCTGTTAGATAATTTAAATAATGTTGTGAAATGTCCACAGTAAATGCATTAACAAACTATCAATGATAAATCCATTTTGAAAACTCATTTAAAAAACAGGTAATAAGAGTTATGTGTTTCCTCTGTTTAAGAAAAAGCCTGAACTCCTACATTTTTGTATGTTGTTGGATTTCAGTTGCTACAAGTAGAAGAAGACTGAACTCCTAAATCTTTTGATGTTGGTGGTTTTCGGTTGCTAGAAGTATATCGCCTTCGCAGAGCGTGGTTTCAATCCACAGTCCTCTGGGTTATGGGCCCAGCACGCTTCCGCTGCGCCACTCTGCTGATGATAATGATGCCAAGACTCAATCACAGAGCTCTTTGTGCAAGAAACTGACGTCATAGCTATCAGACTACTGGGAATACATGCCGATATCGCTGCATTGTTCTTTCTGTTAGATAATTTAAATAATGTTGTGAAATGTCCACAGTAAATGCATTAACAAACTATCAATGATAAATCCATTTTGAAAACTCATTTAAAAAACAGGTAATAAGAGTTATGTGTTTCCTCTGTTTAAGAAAAAACCTGAACTCCTACATTTTTGTATGTTGTTGGATTTCAGTTGCTAGAAGTAGAAGAAGACTGAACTCCAAAATGTCTTTATGTTGGTGGTTTTCGGTTGCTAGAAATATATCGCCTTAGCAGAGGGCTGTGTCAATCCATCGACCTCTGGGTTATGGGCCCAGCACGCTTCCGCAGCGCCACTCTGCTGATGGTAAAGATGACAAGACTCAATCACAGAGCTCTTCGTGCAAGAAACTGACATCATAGCTATCAGACTACTGGGTCCACATGCTGAAATCGCTGCATTGTTCACTCTGTTAAATAATTTAAATAATGTTGTGAAATCTCCACAGTAAATGCATTAACAAACTATCAATGATAAATCCATTTTGAAAACTCATTTAAAAAACAGGTAATAAGAGTTATGTGTTTCCTCTGTTTAAGAAAATGCCTGAACTCCAACATTTTTGTATGTTGTTGGATTTCAGTTGCTAGAAGTATATCTTCTTTGGTGGTTTTCGCAGAGGATGGTTTTCATCCATCGACCTCTGGGTTATGGGCCCAGCACGCTTCCGCTGCGCCACTCTGCTGATGGTAAAGATGCCAAGACTCAATCACAGAGCTCTTTGTGCAAGAAACTGACGTCATAGCTATCAGACTACTGGGACTACATGCCGATATCGCTGCATTGTTCTTTCTGTTAGATAATTTAAATAATGTT